CCTATTATGTTGTTGAGAAATATTGACCATTCAATGGGTTTGTGTAATGGTACACGGTTGATAGTAACCCGGTTGGCTAATCACTCAATACAAGGAAAAATATTATCAGGAAGCCACATGGGTGAAGAAGTTGTTATTCCAAGACTATCATTAACACCGTCCGATACAAGAATTCCTTTCAAGTTTCGAAGAAGACAATTCCCTGTGGTTACTTCGTACGCAATGACGATTAACAAGAGCCAGGGACAATCTCTGAAACATGTTGGACTACTGTTACGAAAACCTGTGTTTAGTCATGGACAGCTCTATGTTGCAGTTTCAAGAGTAACTAATCGTAGTGGATTGAAGATTCTGATATGCAATGAAGACGATACTCCCACAAATACTACACATAATGTAGTAGTCTTTCGAAATTTGTAAAACATTGATGTTCTGTACTTTGAAATTATATATACACTAAGCTCTATTGCATTTAAGTTTTTATCACTGAAAAATGATCTGAGTTCAAAAACATAAAAATGACCCGTGCAACGCACGGGTGTGATACTAGTTATTTTTCTCAATAGTCATTATTAAGTCCTATTTAGGGAATAAAAAAGTTCAAGTACTAAATTGAAAAATGACTTATGTTTTAGTCATATTCAGTGCAAATTTCACTAAAAAGAACTCATTATTTTCTATGTTTGAGGTGGTATGCTATAAATTTAGATATATGCCGTTATTATATATTTATCATATATATAATAATGAGTGAGTGTGTGTGTATGTATGTATGTATGTATGTATGTATGTATGTATGTATGTGTATATATATATATATATATAAAAGTCATTATAGAAATAAATTGAAAGAAATTTTAAAAAAACTGAATTTTTTTTTTAAAAATGTTCGAAATTAACATTTTCAATCCCAAAGAAAAGGCCTTGAGTATATAATTATGTTTGGAGTACAATTAAAGTTTCCTTAACCGGTTCAACTAGACGTATTCCATGCAAGTTTTTGGATAAATAAGTGTGACCTTTCATTCATGCGAATCGGATTCCGAAGAATAAAAAGGATAAAAATGCATGTCTAGTGTCTCTACCATACATACATTATGTTTGGACTACAGAAAATAGAACAACAAATTGGGAAGTAACTAGACATACCGCCCTAAACATTCGAAATTTGAAATTATTTTTGAAAAATCACTCAAACTTGAAATTATTGGTGATAAAGTTTCTATTATTAAAAATGGGGTGAAGTTTGGTATTTTCAAATTTAAGGGTAATATTGCAAGATGAAAAAAATGTTGGAGTAATTGTATACATTGTAGACTGGGTTTCTTTGGGAACTTTTATCAAACAGGTTGTGAGCAACCTTAATAAGAAGAAATATATGAAACTAATATAAATTGGAGAACTCAGGAAATCAACAGAGGAATCAGAGAAGAACTTAATGATATATTATTCCATAGGAAAGCCAATTTATAGGCCATACATGAAAGAAACTTTATCTGCTAAAAAGAAGGAAAGCCATAGAAGTGTACAGCTACTTCCTAAAGAATAGGACAACAAACTTGATTAATACGGAGTACTAAAAATACTGAGTCAATACTAGACTTATTCAGCATTGGACTTATTCAACATTACTTATTCTTCAACATTCCCTCCCTTAAACTGAAACGTTGAGCATGTTCTCAGTTTAAGCAGACTCACAAACACCCAACAGCTTCCTTAACCTTTGAAAAGCTGAAATCTTCAAAGCTTTTGTCATTATGTCCGCAACCTGATCTTCACTTCTGCAAAAGAGAAGCTCAATAGTTTCATCTCTAGCAAGATCCCTGAGAAAATGAAACCGCACATCAATGTGCTTGCATCTTCCATGAAATACTGGATTCCTCGAGAGTCTTATTGTTGAACTATTATCACAGTAAATCAGAGTTGTCTCTTGCTTAAAATGCAAGCATTCAAGAATGTTCCTGAGCCAAATAGTTTGACAAGCACAACCAGCTGCAGCTACATATTCAGCTTCCGTAGTTGACAGAGTAACAATTGATTGCTTCTTAGAGGACCATGAAACTGCCGTTGAGCCCATCATGAATACATAGCCTGATGTACTCTTCCTATCATCAAGATCACCTGCATAATCACTATCAGTAAATCCATATATTGCTGATTTTTCACCCTTTTTGTAAAGAAGGCCATATCCAGTAGTTCCCTTCAAGTACCG